GCTCGGGCTCGCTCGGTGGGGCAAGGAGGGCGCGCCACCCCGCTCGGGGCGGGAGCCAGGGCAGGCGGGCGGGCGGGAGGGAGAGGACACGGGTGGAGCCGCGGCGCGGAAGCCCTGCTCCCGCCGAGCGCCGGGCCAGCAGGCTGCAGCTTTCCCGCCCACCCCGAAAGTTTTCCAGCACACGCAGGCGTAGTCTTGGCAGGTTTGGGCCACCTCGAGCGCCCCTCGGGGAGAAGGCTCGGCACGCACGGAGGTGCACAGGACGGGGGCAAAGGGGTTGGGGAAGCGGCCGAGGCTGTTCAGAAGGCGGACGCACAGCGACAAGGAACTCCCGGGACGCTGGAACCAGCGCTAAAAATCCAGCCCCGGCTCGGAAGGGCAGCGGGGCCCAGAGGCTGCGCGTTAACTTTGCCCACTGCGCCCCCGCGCGCAGAGGCGCCCGCTCACACCCACCGCCGCCCACTCCCGCTCGGCTGCGCCCAGCCTGCCTTGGTACAGGCTGATGGGAAGCCGTGGTGGTGGTGCTGGAGGTGGAGAGGTGTACACTGCGTAAATCCCATTCTCTGGCACCCCAGATGCAGAGGGAGCGCACCCAGCTTTCCCCCAAGGGATCCCCTCTACTTCTCTGACCTTGAGTCTCCAACTTCTCCACCATTGTGGATTAAAAACGATAAAGCGCACCCAGATGGAGGTACATTGTACACAGAAAACTTGGCCTTTCCAAACCTTAGCCCACAAAGCGCCGGGTGGGGTTGAAGAAAAGCAAATTATTTGCGGGAGCAAGAGTCCCCCTCGAATGGCGCGCGCGCGGCCGGGTGGGCGCCTCTCCGGCCCCGCGCGGCCCGGCGGAGTGACTGGATTATGTAAGTAACAACCTCCGTGCGCTGAACCACCATCTGTTAATATTTTGATATTGGAAAGTTCGGGGCCTGAGGCAAAGCAGGGCTGGCGGCGAAGAGATCCCAGCCTACTCCTCCCTCCTCGGGGCAGGAACGCAACACCCTTGATGATATGCGCCCACTTTCATAAAATCAAATAGTAATGGGGCCTTAGATCACTGACACCTTCCCTCACCCACCGCTGGTGTGCGTTTGTGGGGGAGGGGGAGAGATTCTTGGAGGTCACCTTCTCAGGAGTCGGTCTTTCCCGTGAATGTAGACTTTTCTGACCCCTCTGTGCTCCTTTGGATAAAATGGAGGACGCTGATTTGGGGACAGGGGGTTTATTATTTTAAAAATTAACCCACCTCCCGTTAACACCCCTTGCTCCAAATTCTTGTAAGGGTGATATTTCGACTTCTTTGGAGCTCGCTTCTGTGTACTTTGAAAGCTGTTGGTTAAACAAACCTCGATAGAAGGCTCTGAGCGTGGGGTTCCCCAGAGACTGCGCCACAGCTGCTGCTCCTACTGATCTGGTGGCATTTCACCCCCACCCCATTCAGAACAGATCCAGGTTGAGTTTGGCGTCACACAGCGCAGGGGGAGGAGGTGACGGTCGGGGAGAGAGAGGCCAGCAGTCAGTCTGCCACCAGCGACCTGCAGCAGGCCGGCCTGCACCCCGGGGCTGGGTTTCTTTCTCTTCCCACGCTCAGCTTGGTGGCAAGGGTGAGTGGGTGACCGGGCAGGTTCTCGATCATTTCTCTTCCACACCCACACTCAAGGTAGCCCCTGGAGGAATCTAGGTGAAATTCCCAGAGCTGGTTTTAGGCTCTGAGGATGGCTGTTTGGAAGGTTTTTAATTACCCTTCCGCACCGTCTTCCCTCCCACCCCCACTTATTGTCTTTAAGAAAGAACAGGGCAGAGGAAATGTCAAGTGTGTTTAGCCCAAAACTTGACAAGGGTGATACCGGCAGGAGCCGTTTAAGAACACACGAATCACTTTTCAGATAAATAAGCAAACGCAGTCTGCACCGGGAGGGTTGGTTAGAAGCCGATCGGTCACAACTTGCGCTGACTTTTAGTTGCAGAGATCAGCGCGGCCAAGGGGCAGACAGGACGGGGCTGCGCTGCGCTGACCCCAGCTTGGCCTCCGGCTTCGGAGATGGAACCAATATTCAGGCTTCTCCTCCTCTCCGGACTGACGGATCCCTTCTTCCCTCTCAGAAAACAGAGTCACCCGGGATAGGGGCTTGGGCCTCACGCCTTGCTCCAGGGCCACTGAACCCGTGAAAGCCCCGCAGTCCTGGCCAGAGAGGTCGCCTGGAGCTCGGCCTGCACGTCGCCCCACCAGGAGGGGAAAAGACGGGTCTGACAGTGGCAGCCAGCGGAGTTGGTCTGGAGACCGAGCTCGTCCGCCTGCCGGGTGTCGCGCGCGCTCCTATTTCAACTGCGCCCTAAGACGGGCTGCAAACCGCTCCTGCGAGAGTGGCGGGCTGAGTCGCTGAACACCACCCCCACCCCCACCCCGGGCTGGGCACAGGAGTCTCCTTGTTTGCCCAGCAGGTTGTTACCCCACTTGACTGGGGCCTGAGTGACAGAGGACTGACTGGGGTTGCCTAGGGAAGGTGCGTGCTAAACGTGCAGAGAAACGCTAGGTGCAGCCGACACAAACTTGCGGGCTGAAGTTTAAGCCATTTCTTTCCAGGGTCTTTATCTTCTCTAACTCTCTCTCTCCCTCTCTCCCTTGGACTCCCGTCTTCTGCTTCCCCCCTCTGTTCCTCCCCTAAGCGTCTCATTTAAATGGCCAGCTGAACAGATGGTTTTAAGGTGTGGAGGGTATACAGCCCTTACTCCTACCGGTTTTATTGGTGGATAGATGCTAACCTGTATACTAACTCACAGATTCATAAAGAAGAAGACTAAGACAGGGGAAAGGTGCTTTGGAGCCATTCTCAGAGAATGCCAAGTCCCCGCTTACCTCGAAGGGACCTAACCAATAGAAGCATTGTTCCACGCTGTATCCAATGGGCATATTAGAGGTATTGCAGTTCCCAGTCTAAACCATCACATCCTCATTAGAACACTGGGTACAATAGCCTGTCACTGGAGGTGTGAGCCCGGGGTGTGGACCCCTCTGGTTTTCCTGATCAAGGGAGGCCAGTGTCTGAGGGTGGCCGAAGGAGGCGAGCCGAAGGCTGGCATTGCTCCTGTGAGTTTCTTACTGTGGACACCATGGTTAACCTAATTATTCCTCCTCCTCTTCTTCCTTCTCCTCCTCTTCGTAATGTTTGAATACCATGTGTGCCAAAAGTTTCCTACAGAGTACAGACTGGGACATACTAACATCGCTATTCTAATTCAAAGAGGAAACAATATCCTCTTATCAGGGTGATAAATCTGAAGCTGAAATTGTAGTAAATGTCCTAGAAAGGACCGGTGTCCCCCTGTGTTGGCCAGCCCAGTGTACTAGCTATGCACCGCATAAATACTCTGGTCACAACATGATTCAACCTTTGGTCTGATTAAATTTTGAGGGACACGAGAAAACTATTTGTCCCCATCCAAGTATATATATATATATATATATATATATATATATATATATATAGTACCTAATGGAGTACGTATGGATGTTTCTGCTTTTATAGGATCTTTAAGCCGTAAACGCGGCTGCATTTTTAAAAGTCGTGTGCTGTCCCCAGCCAGGGGACCTCCTAGCCGCGGCTGGAGGCTCTGTCTTCAGCGTCTGTTACTTTGCGAAGCCCAAAACCGCATTATCTAAAGAACCCGTGTTGGTTATTTCTCATCTAAGATAAACTAAGCCGAAATAAACTTTCTTCGGTTTTAAGTTAAAAGTCCGAGATTTTAGCGTTTGACATTCTCGCGTAATCAACTTTAAACTTTGTTACTCTGGCGTCCACATCGCGTAAATCCCGGGTTGAACTGCTTTATTTAGTCGGTGTGGGGTCACTGAGACGGAAGGGGGTCATGGCGAGATCATGTTTATTACATATATTTTTAAATAGCTGCTGTATCAGTCGTCCAAATAATATCGTTAGAGGTGACCGAGGGTAAATAGCCTTGTTCCCTAATAATCTTGACGGTGATTGCCTGGGACTCAGCCAGTGCTGATCTTTTAATATCAGATGCAGCGAACTCGGTGGGAAACCTCTGGCACCTCTCAGTTTAATCCCAAACCTACCTGTATTTCACCGTCCACCTCCTCTGTAAAAGGAAGGGCGACAGGTATGGTGGATCCTAAGCAGGACCGCTTTAAAACAGAATGATCTGTGGATCCCCCCTTCCCTCCTTCTGGACCACCACCGCCAACGCTCGAGGCCCCACTTGGTCTGCAGGCTACTTTTCCGTGCCTCCCTGCACCCAAGTCCGAGGAGCTCTAGCTCGCTCGGCCACTGGCGAACTCGATCAGCTGTATCTGGGCAATGGAAAACACACGCGCGCGCGCGCGAACACACACACACACACACACACACACACAGAGGCACGCACAGAAGACGACGAAGACCTGCGTCCTGCGAGAGCGGTGCGCAGCGCCCGCAGATGGCTCGCCGTGGCCGGGCCGGCGTCGCTGCGCCCGGAGCAGCGCGGGCGGGGTGGGTGGGGGCCGGGGAGGGGGAGCGCGGGGCCCCTCTCCCCTCCTCTCTTCCCAGCCCCGCACCCCCCCACACCCACCCCTTTTTATATATTTTTTTTCCTCCCAAGTTCTCTTGCCTCGCTATCCCCCCTTGAATCCGAAGGCGCCTCGCGATTGGGTGCTGGGGCCGGGTACGTCAGTCAGACTGTGACGTGCAGTCTTCCTGTTTCCTTCAGCTGTGTCTTAAAGTAAATCTTGTCGTGGAGCGGAGCCCTCGGCCGAGGGAGCGCTCTGAAACCCTACACCATTGCAGCGGGCGAGAGCGCAGCGGCGCAGAGGAGCCGGGGCCGGTCGGTCCGCGCCCCGCGCCCCCGCTCCGCGCGCCCCTGCGCCCTCGCAGCTCCTCTCCTCCTCCTTTCCTCCTCCTCCTCCTCCTAGGCGCTGCTCTCCTCGGCTCCTCTCCTCTGTCCTCTGCGCCCCGCTCCCGCCCTGCCCTCCTCTCTAGCTCGCCCTCGCTGCGACTCACCGGCCCCGGTCCGATCTCACATCCATCACCCGCAAACCATCAGCGTGCGCGCGCGCGCCTTTTCCGCTCTCTGCCGGCAAAAAGAGAGAGAGAAACAGAGAGAGAGAGAGAAAGAGAGAGCGAGATTGAGGGAGAGAGGAAGAGAGAGAGAGACTCCGTCCCACCGCTCTCTGCGCCGCGTAAGTATCTTCTCCCCCTCGCAGTCCCCTCCCCTCCCCAGACCCTCCTGCACTGGCTTGCTCCTGAATGAGACGGAGAGAAAAGAGCCTCCCAGGACTTACGCCCGTGCGCACAGTTTTTTTCCAGGAGAAAGTGTTATTTAAATGAATCCTAATAAAATAGCCTCTAAACAGTTTCTAAGCAGGAGCCACCGTGGGACCCGACGCTCCGCCGCCGCCCCCCCCCCCATCCCGCGAGTAAGTGACCCGCTTGGCTTTTATTTCTTTCTCTTTCCTGCTGGTGGCTGGGGGTGGTGTGTTGGCGACGTGGGGGAGGCTGGACTTGTCGCTGATCTTGTCACCTTTTGTGTCTTGTTTCTGGGGTGCGAGGAGGCATCGGCTTCCTTCCCTGCTTTCTCTTGCCCTCTCTTCCCCGGAGAGGACTGCAGAGGGGACCGGGTCGCTTTTTTGTTCGCCAGGGTCTCTGCTCTCCGGCGAGCCTCAGCCTTCCATCTCCCTGGGCGAAAAGTCCGGGGCTCCTCCCCACGTCCTCTCCCTTTGTCTTGTTTATTATAGCCGCCTTTCTTCCCAGCTCTTCCAATTTGCTTGTCATTTGCATACCTTCCACTTCTCCTTTTTAACCGGGGCGCAGGCCCGGGAACTGGGCAGAGGGCGCACGGGGGAGGGGGCGCTCTACGACTTTGCTCTCCCTACGCGATCCGAGCTGCAGTGTTGAAATCGGGGTTGGAGCGGGACAGTGATGGGTCCCAGGAAAGGAGCGCCGGGGTCGCGTGGAGTCGGGTAAGGCCACGCCGCGAAGCCCGGGGGTCGCTAGGTTGGGGGGCCCGCGCGCCTCGAAGAAGCAGGGTTGCGATCCAGGCGGGGAAGGGTGTTCTTCGGGTGCGGGTCGAGGCACCCCGCAGGCGTCTGCGGTGCTCTGTGCTGTTGCGCAGCTCCAGGCAGGTCCCGTCCGGCTGGTACCTACTGTTTCGCCCCAGTTTGGCGGAGGATGGGGGAGGGAAGAGAGCGGAGGAGGTGAGAGGAATCGTGGCTGGAAGCGCCGGGAGCTGGGCGGGAAGAGGGAGGAAGAGCCACTCTCTTGCCCGAGCACACGGGGGAGGGGGCGGTGGACAGCACCCGAAGTCCAGTTTAGCAAGTTGTCTGTTCCCCTGGCGAGCGGGCCAGTAGTCCTCTCGCGCGCACGGCGTCAGTGGAGACAGGGATGGGGGGCCGGGGGGGGGGCAGCTCCCAGACTGCAGGGCCCCGGCTCCTTCCCAGCTTCTTCCCAAGTTGAGACTCCTCCAGGCGCTACGGGGAGCAGAACCGGGAGGGGGGCGGACGAGGACGGGCCACAGCCTTCTCTAGCCCGGGAGCCGGGCTGCAGGGAGAAACTGCTGTTCTTGGCAGCCCGGTGCCCTTCCCTGCCTGGGGAAGACTGAGAGCTCACCTGCTTGTTTTTATTTTTCCGAGAAGGTCTGTGTTGTCTCCTTAAGCTTATGAAAACAGACCAAGCGCTGGGGTGGCCTCCTCTCAAAGTCAAGGCTAGAAGAGTCTCGTTTTTCACACCCCCACCCCACCCCCGCTTTCTGGTACAAAAAAAAAAAAATCATTTCCTTTCCTAAACTAGGTAGGCAGATGCCTATTAGCAGAGTACGCATGGGCAGGGCCTGACAGGTGTGTTGTGTCAAGAAAGACAGGTGTAAATTTCCTCTGTTTGCAGGGCTCCAGACCTCAAGGCTTGCTGGAGGGCTGTAGAGGGTTATGAATTTATGGTTGTCTTGGCTCCTAAGGGTTCTGGGGCTACTAGCTACTGGACTGTTGTATTTTGAGGCCCACCATATGAGTTCTTTGGGAGGAGCAGGGGTGGGAGTGCTGGTGTCCAGTTGGTATGTATTTGTTTATTTTTCTTAAGGATGTTGGCAGGCTGCTGCTAAGGCTGTGTTTCAGGCTTCTGTCTGCTAGGGAGCCAAAAGAACCCCCACTTCAGGCAGCAGGTGGAAGGGAGACTGACTTTCCTTTTCGTTCCCTCCGGTTTATGCCTGTCTCATAGGTCTGTACTTGGCAGAGAGAGGGAGGAGAAGGGACTGGGAGACACACACACACACACACAGAGGGAGAGAGAGAGAGACAGACCTTGGGGTGTGTGTGTGTGTGTGTGTGTGTGTGTGCGTGTGTTGGACAACTATGGTGATGTGTAACTGCCAAAAATACCACAGTCGGTCTGAAAGTGTTACTGGTGTGAAAGCCTGTCTTTTAATGTGCTGGTTCCTCCCGGCCCAGAAAGAATAGGTACGTGCTTGGACTTTTTCAAGGTATATGTTAAATAATCTCCTAAAGTAAGAATGCACTTGTCAGTGTTCCAGACCTGTGCCAGAGGGCCTAGAGAGGACTTGATGGAGAGGAAGATCTCATGCACATGAGAGCTAACTGTGTTTTTCGATTTCATACAAGATTTGGGCAATCAGTCTATGATGAGTTTCTCAGAGTTCTTACTGAGTATTTGTGACATGAAATGGGCTGTGCATGGTGAGGAAGAAAAAAGGAGAGAACTGAGGTTAGCCTAGGCAGGGCATAGGTGTAGAAGGGCAAACCAGCTGAAGTTAAGGACTGTGGCTTGATGGGGGGGGGGGGGGAGGATCAGTGTTAACCTGTGTCTGGATTCTTAAAACTTGATCTTTAAAAATCTTTTTAATGTCAGGCTACTTCTTTAAATTGAGCTGCATGGAAATAGGTTAAATGGTAAAAGGTTTTTGTGGTTTGGGTGGTTATCACTGTTTCCAAGAAAATGAGATAGTATGTCATTTATTCTTTCTACTTAAACTTCAATACCCCCCCCTATATTTTCCTTGGATGCTTCTGAAGTTCTTTGGTGATTAAAATGTCATCTATGGCTATGTTCATTTACTTTGTTTTTAATAGAGGTTATCTATGCTTGGCACTTACGATATGCAGAAGTCTATTTAGTTTAATCACCACCTTGTGGGAAAAAAGTCACGCATACACAACATGCATCTTTGTCCCCACTTCAGTCCTCACTAGCATGGGCTCCCCTCTGCAGCATGTGCGGGCTCGAACCTCAGCCTGCTTAGTCTGTAAGTTGCCAGATTTCCTCTCTATCTGTTCAAAGCTCAAAAAGGCCTTTTCCCCACCAACTTCCTATGTGTAGCATTTCAGGGCTGGTCTCAAATTTGCAATCTTAATATGAGGATTTTTATGTTTAGAATTTTAAAGAGAATTTATAAAATGTTAGTGGTGCAATACTATGGAAATGGGTTGTGTGTGATGTACTATTATACAGTTCTAATTAAATATTTTGAATAAATTGGAAGGGACATATAATTCCCAACTCTTACTGCCTAACGTGTTCCTAACGTGTTATCTCAGAGGATGCTTAGAGTATTCCAATTTTCTGCAAAAAAAAAAAACAAGTGTAAGTGTATATTTGTGAGATGATTTCTTACACTTTTACTACCCAATTTGATGAATTGTTACAATTCAATAATTAGAAATCAATATTTCAGGCATGTCTCAGACAATGTTACACGTTCATTTTGCAAGTGAACAATATATGGAATTTTTAATAAGATGGGAGAATCGTAAATGAAACGGTGGCAATTTAAGAATTCTGTCATAATAGGAAATTTTAAAACCTGTCAATGTAATCTTTGTTATCTGAAGTATTCACTTATACCAAGTGGGTTCTTCAAAATAAATATTCTTAACCTGGTAGGAAGCAGGGATGTCTCCAAAGGAAAAGTTGCTAATTAGCGGTGATGAACTCCTGAGCACAGTGAACAGAGGACAGACACCTTAGTGGTTTGGGGAACTTCTACATCAAGTCGTCCGATTCTGTCCCTCTTGAGTTACTGATTTTCCAGATTGACTTTCAGTGCTCTGTATTCATAAAATACCACTCGAAATCACCTAAGCAGGTGAACCCCAAGCAGATTCGAGGCACATTTAAAGCTGATATCCTAAAAGAAGTAACATGTAAGTAAATTCTTCAAATAATTTTATCAACAAAAACAGATAAGCTAAACGATCCAGCAGGAAAGCCAGCCAACCTTACACTTTCCCTATCTCAGAAAAGATTTGTCTGAACTATCTGGATAATTACCATCATGAAACACTTCTTTGTCCAGGGTCTGGACTCCAGATAGCTGCAGTAAAAGTTGCATCTCCTTCTCCCAAATAACTTCTTTATTAAAGCGCAGCTCTAAACCACTTTCTGTTCATCTTGCAATGTTCCTTTGAAATACTTTACTGAAAATGCTTTTCTGCCAACTCAGTATCCTTAGGATTCTCTATGTTAAAGAGAATGTCAGATAATTCAGATTTTAATGAAGAATCTTGTGAGGCAGTTAAAAACCTGACTTCATCATATCTTAATGGTATCTTTTTCTGTGGAGAATTGCTATGCTGTCTATTGTGTAGGAGTTATTAAAGCATTTGCCTAGATTTAGATGGCAGCTAGAACAACAAAATAATAATTGAAAATTATAGATAGATTGTATATTAATTAAAGAGAAGTTTATAAGAACAGAGCATAGTTACTTAATAATTTGGGTTCAGTTTCCACATCAGTGTTTTCTTCTGTCTCTTTGCTGATATTAATGTCCCCCATTTTCATACGCTGATCAAAAAGCTTCATGTCGCCTGGTTACATTCATAATTAATGCTAAAATGAAAATATGAGAATCAATATTTACTGTGACAACGTTGAGGTTTAATACATATGTTGAGACATGCAGGAGTTTTTGAAAATCTTAATGTACAGGAAGGACATATAAGTAATAAAGTCATTACATAACATCCTTTAGATTCTGCACTGGAAAATCATAGAAACACTTGGGAAATGTTTTTAAGTGATCTGATACATTGTGATCATTTGATAGTGCATTTTATTATAGAGTAAATATGCTCATAGGTATATATTGTTTATGAAATACGACACTAGTAAAGTGCTGTGTGATCTAGTTATATTCTTTACCTTGGCTATAACCTCCCTGGTCTCAGTGTGGATAAACTTTATTTCTCACCTTAGATCCAAGCCATAAGCAGAGCTGTTTTCCTTGGTGCCTCATACTATCATGCCTTATCTTGCTGGATTATATAAGTTTTTCTGTTATCCCCCAGTCGTCCTGTCTTTCGTGTTATGTCTCAGCTAGATATTTTACAATAGGGCCTAAAACTATTGAAATTCTCTTAGCTCAAAACAGAAAGAAGTCTGTATTTAACTGAAAAATTATCGCTGCTTGAAAGACAATTGTAAAAGATCAGTTTGGTCTGATGAATTTGGAGACAGTTACAGGATGGCTGGTGTGCACAGACTCGGTGAACATGTTGAATTAACACTCACATTGCACTGGAGACGAAAGAAAGCATCATGTCTTTCCACCTTAGGAAGAGCCCAGCCCTCTTCTTGGCTCTGGCAGGATCAGGGATGCAGCTGTTGATACCTAGGATAGAGGAGAGGAAGTGTAGTTGATGCAAAGGTCCGTGGCAGTTGGGAAAGGAAGGATGCCTGGGATGACCTTGTGCTCATCAAGGACACCAGCATGTCCTTTCTGAGCCTCTGCTACATCTTCCCATGGCAAGATGAGCAGGAGCAAAGTCCAGCTTGTGTGCAAAGGAGAATAAGGGGGAAATATGGCAGGAAGTTTGCTCAGCATTTTGAATAGAGACCCATGTGCTCTGCTGGATATATTAAAGAGAAAAAATATTTGTACACAAAAAGAAAGGGATCATAGTTTTAAATCGTAAGCTGTATTTTTGGAAAGCTCATATACACACGAAAGAGTCTTGTTGTGACCCCCCCATTCAAATGTCCCTGTAATTAATAGATATTTTAAATAATTCAACCTTTTTCTTCTCTCACCTGATGGCTCTACCTGATTTATCAGGTCTAATGTGTCAGTGAAATATTTGTCACTGTGTTTTTGTATTCCAATTTTATTAGTAGTATGTGAGGAGTTCCATCATTCTGAATCCAATTTTGAGCCCAGGATTAAAGTTATTAAGACCTCTGTTTCCATCCAGAGTTCAGGACATTTCATCCTGAAATGTAAAGGAAGCATTTTATCCTCAAGGTTACAAAAACCTGCAGAAAGAATGGTCATCTGGCTTTCATGATACTCTAACACAGGCTTTTTTAAAAGCCACATTTTCACATAGACACCAAGATCAAATACTGCATGATGAAACCTGTGCCAGGTTAAAAAGCATACATATTGTTGCCATGTAAGCACCGAGCATTTTCTTGATTTTTACAGGTTATCTCATGCTGAAATTATGCCTATTTGCATGGGTAGTCATTCTTTAAAACTAGCCGCAGATGCAGTCCTAGGGAGCACGTAGATGTTTTTACAGGTGAACCGAGAGAGATGGGAGCCGTTCCAGACACTCTGCACGCTGCCTTTGGCAACAGAGCCTGTTATTGTGAAGATGCGCTCTGCTCAGCGAACGTGAAGTTCAGTAGCACATAAACCTGGCATGCAAAACATTTTTTTTCATTTTCTTCATAAAATGTTAATTGTAAACAAAAAGATGTGACATCTTACACAGATACAAAATTTGGGATCAGCCTTGCTAGTTAATGAGTCACACATATGTCAAGTGCCTTTTATAAAAGGCAAGCAAGGATGTTCCTGTTTTGTATTCGGTCCCCAAGAATCAAAGAAAGTATTCCCCCCTCTCACATAGCTGATTGATGTTTTGTTGCTTTCCTCCTGTATCTTTCGGTGGTGTTTTGTTTTTCTTTCTTTCCTTTTACTTGGCAGAGGAAATAAAATGCACAATGATGAGCATTAAAGAGTTTCTTTAGGCATTTGGAGAACTATTTTGGCAGATTTTTACCCAGGCAAACTAGTCCTGAAGATGTATTTATCTTTTCCTCATCCAGTGATTTATTATGCTACAATGTGACAACACCCTTCCTTTGCAGTGAATCCAATTTTCTAATAATTAAAGCCATCAGAAGGACAATATGAAAATCTAGAAGTGTGCTCCTAGTGACATTTCCATAGGGCAACAGATACCATTATCACATGTGACTTCAATAATAACAATGTGCAACTCTGCTAAATGAACAGACTTGTAAAATGAGTATTTATGCATTGACTTCGATGCTGAATTGCTCATTTATGTTTGAAAGGTGCTGAATAGGATGTTCTTCCCATTTCGCATATGACAAAAATATTTTAAAATTCAGTAATAAAAGGTATGTGTTGAATATTTGCATTTACCTCAGAGTCTTTTCCTTTAGTAGCATTCAGACCACAATAATTTTAATGCAGAAATGGAATTTATCATCCAAATTTCACGCAGCCTCAAAATTTAACCTTATTTCTTAAGTATAGACCACTTTCATCTTCTTTTATAATATGAATCTCAAAGCCCAAAATTTAATCAATTGGTTGTCAGAGGCTGTGTTCTTATAATCTACTGTTTCTTCTGAAGATAAACAGTATCATTTTAGGCATTTGTGAAAGAGAATCATATTACTGGTGCTTAAGCAGTTTTTGCTTTTTTTTTTTTAATCTTAATCCATCTTAAACCAGTGGAGCAGAAATATTTAAAAATGTTTCATTTCAAGCAGAGTGCATAATAAATTGCAATAATTGTAATGTGCCATAAATCCCAGAGCCTATGCATTTTGCATTTGATTCAGGATTGAGGTCAGGAAATTTGGAGAAATTTAAAGAAAATGATTCATCAGTCCTTTTGTTCTGTTGGCCAGGGTCCCGGGATTCTTGAGCTGTGCCCAGCTGACGAGCTTTTGAAGATGGCACAATAACCGTCCAGTGATGCCTGACCATGACAGCACAGCCCTCTTAAGCCGGCAAACCAAGAGGAGAAGAGTTGACATTGGAGTGAAAAGGACGGTAGGGACAGCATCTGCGTTTTTTGCTAAGGCAAGAGCGACGTTTTTTAGTGCCATGAATCCCCAAGGTTCCGAGCAGGATGTTGAGTATGCAGTGGTACAGCATGCAGATGGGGAAAAGTCAAATGTACTCCGCAAGCTGCTGAAGAGGGCGAACTCGTATGAAGATGCCATGATGCCTTTTCCAGGAGCAACCATAATTTCCCAGCTGTTGAAAAATAACATGAACAAAAATGGTGGCACGGAGCCCAGTTTCCAAGCCAGCGGTCTCTCCAGTACGGGCTCCGAAGTACATCAGGAGGATATATGCAGCAACTCTTCAAGAGACAGCCCCCCTGAGTGTCTTTCCCCTTTTGGCAGGCCTACTATGAGCCAGTTTGATATGGATCGCTTATGTGACGAGCACCTGAGAGCAAAGCGTGCCCGGGTGGAGAATATAATCCGGGGGATGAGCCATTCCCCCAGTGTGGCATTAAGGGGCAATGAAAATGAAAGAGAGATGGCCCCGCAGTCTGTGAGTCCCCGAGAAAGTTACCGAGAAAACAAACGCAAGCAAAAGCTGCCCCAGCAGCAGCAACAGAGCTTCCAGCAGCTGGTTTCAGCCCGCAAAGAACAGAAGCGAGAGGAGCGCCGACAGCTGAAACAGCAGCTGGAGGACATGCAGAAGCAGCTGCGGCAGCTGCAGGAGAAGTTCTACCAGATCTACGACAGCACCGATTCTGAAAATGATGAAGATGGAAACCTGTCCGAAGACAGCATGCGCTCCGAGATCCTGGAGGCGCGGGCCCAGGACTCGGTGGGGAGGTCAGACAGTGAGATGTGCGAGCTGGACCCGGGACAGTTCATCGACCGGGCGCGGGCCCTCATCCGAGAGCAGGAGATGGCAGAAAACAAGCCCAAGCGAGAAGGCAGCAACAAAGAGAGAGAGCACGGGCCAAACTCCTTGCAACCGGAAGGCAAGCACTTGGCTGAGACCCTGAAACAGGAGCTCAACACTGCCATGTCACAAGTCGTAGACACTGTGGTCAAAGTCTTTTCGGCCAAGCCCTCCCGCCAGATTCCTCAGGTCTTCCCACCTCTCCAGATCCCCCAGGCCAGGTTTGCAGTCAATGGGGACAACCACAATTTCCACACTGCCAACCAGCGCCTGCAGTGCTTTGGCGACGTCATCATTCCAAACCCCCTGGACACCTTTGGCAACGTGCAGATGCCCAGTTCCACAGACCAGACAGAAGCACTGCCCCTGGTGGTCCGCAAAAACTCCTCTGACCAGTCTGCCTCCGGGCCGGCCGCTGGCGGCCACCACCAGCCCCTGCACCAGTCGCCTCTCTCGGCCACTGCGGGCTTCACCACCTCCACCTTCCGCCACCCTTTCCCCCTCCCCTTGATGGCCTACCCATTTCAGAGTCCGTTAGGTGCTCCCTCCGGCTCCTTCTCGGGAAAGGACAGAGCCTCTCCTGAATCCTTAGACTTAACTAGGGACACGACGAGCCTGAGGACCAAGATGTCATCTCACCACCTGAGCCACCACGCTTGCTCACCAGCACACCCACCCAGCGCGGCTGAAGGGCTCTCCTTGTCGCTCATAAAGTCCGAGTGCGGGGATCTTCAAGACATGTCCGAAATCTCACCCTACTCGGGAAGTGCAATATCCTTTTATTTTTTCCCCTGGAGGAACAAGCACAACAAAACAAAGGGAAAGGTTGCCCCAAAGGCTTGCTTGACACAGCCTGTAGGGTAAGGTAGATCAGTATCTTAAGCATGCAGGCTCCCCTGGTATACAATGTAACAGCTCTTAGCAGCGTGCAGGTGGCATTTCTGATTGCAGGAAAGCTTAGATTTAAACAGTCCTTGCAACTTTCATAAGTTGTTAATTGCCTCCAGGAGCTGGTATCTGATGCTCTTTCCCAGGAGCGTGTGTGTGTGTGTGTGTGTGTGTGTGTGTGTGTGTGTGTGTGTTGTACTCTTTCTGTTCTGTCTTTCCCTTTCTCTCTGTAGATTCAAAGATCACACACAAAAAATTCTCACTGTAAACATTGAACAACTGCAGATGCTTCGTAAAGATGCTGTATGTTTTGCTATGCAGTACAGAGAAAAGCCAGAGTTCAGATCTATAAGATCCGTTAAGTGGAACTCTCATCCTAAGCCATCTGCGAATCTCCTGGACTTTGTATTGAAGGCCCGATTAGGTCTCAGGAGCACACTTCATTGGTGGGCAGCTGCTTAGCAGTTGGAGTAGGAAGAAGGCGGCCCTGGGTGAGGAGTTAGACTCTCTAGACTTTTAATTTCCAAGTGAGACTTTTTTCTTCAAGGAAATACACAGGTACTGATTTATTCAGATGGCATCAGCCTCTCTCGCTCACCCAAAGTCTGTTCTTTGGGCCTGGTGCAGCTGCTTCTATGCATGATTAACCTCTGCTCAGCCATACACAGAAATCTTTTGTCCTAACATACACAAAGCAAATTATTTTGGAAAGCAGGAGAGCACAATTAAATATAAAACTCAGCAGTATTCAACTTAAAAATGGCTCTTTTTCTGACTCCTTTACATTCTGATCCTGACCTTTATGTAGAGATGCTGATTATCTGTTTTAGTCAACATACCCTGAACTCTGGATGTTTTTAACTGATTTATTTTTTCTCTGTAAAGAAGTCCTTTTCTTAAATATTTGGAAACTCTTATGATGGTTAGTCTTTTGGGGGTATTAGAATAATAGCATTTAGGGGGCAGGTGGAGGCAATATTTCTTATATAATAAATTAACAGATGGATATAAAATTTAGCAATTAAGTTGGCTGTTACTAAATTGAGGATTTTGAGCAATCATCTTGATGACTAGAAACTGACATTTTAGTTTCTGAGCCCACTCCAGAGGCTGCCACGTAAGTGTGAAGTCCCAGCTATGGCAGAAAGATGTTTTCCTGGGTCATTTTCCCAGCCAGCTCTCACGGTAGTGGTGCAGCCTTTTGGCGAGGTAGAGGAACCACAGGCATGAGACCCCTGAGGTGGTTGGACCTGGAGTCTGTGTCCGTGCTGAAGAAGACGAAAAGTCAGTTGATAAAGGGAAGAGACAGATGCAGAGGTCAGAGAGCTGAGTCCTTGCGTGGCTGCTGATTCAACTTGGACTTTCAGAAATCTAAAGTTCAGTGCACCCGTCACAAAGCACTGTGCTTTTCATGTATTGCAAGCAGGCAAGAGACTTTGGTCAAAATGATGGGGATAAGGGGTGTTGGTGATGAGAAAGGTCAAGTGGGGGGACCCAAGAAGGTGGATGGGTTTTCCCCCTTTACATGAAGAACATCTTTCAGAGTTTGCACCAGATTGTAGGTCTGTTGGACCTCAGAGATCCTTGAATTTCATTTTAAAAGAAGTAGGAAAATACTTGTTAGGTTGCTGAGTACTTGTTAGTGATGTTAGGTTCTCCTTTCATGCACAGAGAAAGGAAAAAGGGGAGAGAAGGAGAATACGGGACGCAGAGACAGACAGACAGACAGACAGACAGACAGAGACAGAGACAGAGACAGAGACAGAGAGATAATATGAATGCCCATTCTGGTGAACATTCGAAGCCAGGTTTCAAAGTCCTAAAACTCTTGTTCCTAGTGCTATATTATGCTTTAACTTAGATTCCTCATTATCACCAACTAATTCTAATTGTGTTTTTTTTTAAGTTAATTTGGTGTTCTAGGCAAAAACAAAAAACAAAAACCCACTCATCTTTTACATGGCTTTAGGTGTCAGCCATGAACAGGTTGTGTTGCTCAGGGCCTCTTTCTAAATCCCTGGAGGAATTTCAAGGATTGGAATGGGAAGAAGTTCCTTATGTTTGCATAGATCTCAAATGTAAAGAAAATAGTTACTTCTCCCACCAACAAGTAACTTCTCCTGCGTCCTGCCAATAAGACCGTGGAGCAGCCAGGGTGGGACACACCCATGCTCCTGTGAAATGTTAGTTACCAACCCACCTGGAGGTCTTTCCTTCACATAGCTGAGTGCTGTGAGCCTCTTGCTGTAGTTAATGACTATAATTTTGGCTTTTTGACCTCTTAACCTCACTGCTTTCTCTGCCTCCTCCGCTACATTTTACTTGTAACCATTCTGCTCATTGGCGTAATGGTTTCCCAGGAAGATGATAAGCAAGCAACCTGTCCTATAGTCTCACAATTCTTTTGTTTTGTTTTGTTTTATTGTCTTTCTGAGACAGGGTCTCACTCTGCAGTTCAGGCTGGCCTTGAGCTCACTTTGTAGCCCAGGCTGGCCTTGAATTTCAGCGATCCTCTTGTCTCAGCCTCCCAAGTGCTGGGATGACAGGAGTGCGCCACCCTACCTGAGTTAGTCTCACGATTAGGAAGCAGCTGAGAATCCAAGTATTTGTTGGCGAGTTGAATTGTATCCACTTTGCTCCTATGAGTCCCTCCCTTGATTTACTTAATGGTACACATATTCCACGCTTCTACACAATTATTTGGTCCAATTATCACAGAGAGCTTTCTCAAGGTTGGTTTGACGAAATCTCTGGGCATCACAGTGAGTGGTGTTTTACTCCACTTTTAGGGATACAGGGCCATCGTTGAACCTATCGTACAGTGATGCCTAGAAAAGAGCAATAGAAATGAGCTGAAATTGGTACCACTACAATCGATGGTAGTACATTTCTATTTTTTGAGTTTCTGGTTTTTTGAATTGCTATAGATAATTGAACTCTTAAGGAATGATTACAAAGCCAAAGGGCATCATCTGATTTTTGAAGAAATTTCCAGCTTGTCAAACCGGCCCGTTCTAAATTGAGCACCTGAGTATGTCTGGCTACAGACACATGCACTCCCTCATCACGCCTCGAGGAAGAAGGAAACCCAGGCTGTGTGCACATTAAGCCAAAAGTCAGTGCACCTGGTCAAAGAGCTCGTGTCTTGAATATAAAAAAACGTGTTCCAGTATCTTTGCAAATGAATCTATTTAACCAAATATTAAGTTTTATTCAAATCCCAAAAGAAACAAGACAGCCAATTGCTTTTCTTCGTGATGTTCCTTGTCACTCATCCTCTTTGCATCTCAAGAAAAATAGCCTTGTTTAGACCTCAGACATTTGCATACCCCCAATTAAAGCACAAGAGCCGTATTATAGCCACCAAGATGCACAGGTGAAGGAGTCCAGCTTTTCCCTCCTCCGCCCTTGGAAAGAAGGTTGAGAGCACTCAAAGTTTAGAAAGGAGAGCTTTTGAAGGGTGTGAAATTAAAATCCAACCCCCAAGACATGGGTTAGAAATGAATCTCTGAGCTGTGGAACGATCCACACAAGTCCTTCTTTTCCATTATTTGGGGTCTTGGGGTCCATCATGGTTTTAGTGATAGGGACGCATGTAGATTCATGACTTCTCACCACCTCAACCTACAGGAAAAAAAAAAAAAAAATATATATATATATATATATATATATATATATATATAAACTTTTTAAAAGTCACATATTCCATTGAGGATGCAGAAGTTCTCAGTAGAGTCCCAGCCTGCTCTTGTCATGGTCATGAAATGGGAGAGTTGAGATTTTAGCTCCCCATCTCAGGTTTCATGCACAAGCCCCTAGAAAGAGTTAATTCCAGAATAAGGAGAAAATCAAAATTCTGCAGGTTTCAAAATGCTTTAGGAAACCTAAAGGGACCCGAGGCATGTGCTCAGAACTGCCGCACAGCCCACCTCGCCAGTATAGATTTCTCTTGGAAAAAAAAATAAAAGAATTTTCCCTTGCAGCCTTCACAACCTATTATGCTTCCATTTGCCTTTTTGCTGCTCCGGCTGGCGGCTGCTCCTCCGGCTGCCGCGTTAGGTAAGGTTATCTCGAGCTTGGTAAACAGACATCACTTAGATTCTCAGGTTGTTTGGGCCCTGCTGTAGGATCAGCTGCACGGCCCTGCTTCTCTGATCGTTTATATTCCCAAGCAGATGTCTTTCATTAATTTATGGATTTATCATCTTTTCTTTTTTTTTCTTCCTTTTTTTTTCTTCCTATTTTTTTTTTTTTTTTACACCTGGCAGCTGTCTCAAGTTTCAGCAGTTATTGTCTATTTTGCATTACACATCGAATTGAATGTCATCTGTCTTCACAAAGCTATGGCTAAGAGAATTGAAGCAAAGCCACACGAGCTGCGGGGACAGATCTTGTTTGCGTTCCATCCCCCCCCACCCTCCCCCCGTACCTCCTTAATATTTATTTGTGCTCATTTTCTTTCCTGGCCTTGAATGGAGCTTAGCTCGTGTTCGGTACAGCTGTGTGTTTACTGAATCTCTTCCATCGTGAGTCATTGTGCGTGTGTAAGTATCCAGGAAACAGCTAGTGCTTTCTTGGAAGAAGAGTTGCTTTGGAGCACAAGCACTTAAAAGGGAAATTAACCAATTGGTCAGTTCAGATTTATTTTGAGGAGGAAAAAGAAAGAGGATTATCTAACTGTTGGCTTCTAAATGTTTCATTAGCTATTTTTAATAGTTTATTAGAAACATATATTTTATGGGAATTTTATCTTAATTACACAATGAACAAGAGATAAAGATTCATTCTGTGTTCCATTTCAATTGATCAGTTCCAAGGACTGCCAACAGGAAACATTTTGAAGCAAAAATGAACTTGAGAAATCCAAATCTAAAGTGTTTTTTTCCAGTAAATAAAAAAAGACTCCCTAAAGCCTAATCAAAACAATGAATATTTTAAAAAAAATAAATAAAAAGAACGAAGACTTCTTAGCACAATTTAGATGAAAGGGGGTTGCATCGGGAAGTTTTAGTAGCTCTATGCCTGTGTGAGAAACACAGCAAAACACAGCTTCTGTTTTGCACGAGACCAAATTTTGAAAGATTTGGGACTTAGAATTCAGGAAACGGGGTGAGGCTTGTTTTCATGGGTTGGTCTGAAAGAAAAGAGTAGAACCCAGGTCCGAGTAAATGTGTGGAAGTTCAGACTTGCCTAAAACTCTTATTGCCAGGCACTAGGAGACAGCTTGCCACCATTATTCCCCTTATCCGTTTGGACAGATGGTCCTGAAGTGTGCTGGGCTCCTTTCGTCTTCCCTATCAGTCTAATGGAGGTTACGGGAGGGCCTTTCAGCTCTTTCGCTGGCACAAGAAGTATGTCAGTCATAAATTATCGTCTTTGTAATCATTAAGGACCTCAAACAAAAACACAAGTTCGGTTAAGCTGCTTTGGCTCACAGAGAGAAAAATCAAAATTTCCTTCGGGTTTATTTTCAGTTAAAACCCGCACATGCACGCACGCACAGGCACACACACACACACACACACACACACACACACACACACACACAACCGGGGTGCTTGGCTTTTCTATGTGCAAAGCAAGGCACGCTTCTTTTCTTAAATTCCGTGGGATCTGGGGGGAAATGTTAATTGGACAAATTCTCAGCAGAATATTTGGCTAATGACTCCGTTATAAGGAGTGAAGAGCTTATCAATATTAATTTGATTTTGTGCCTCATGCCTTTATTTCCCTCCTTGTCACTGTCAATCGTGCCAAACCTGACGGAGGTCCCTGGGAAAGCCTTCTTTTTCCTAGCTGTGTTTATCTGACCTTTCTTCGGAAGGCGTGAAATTTCTGTTGATTGGCTAAGGTGTGTTATCTGCGTGGATGTGTGCACATCTATTTTCTTTTTTCTTCCTTCTGGCCTTATTTTTCCCACTCTCCTTCAAGAGAGAATCCTTAGAGAAGCTTCTAGAAAGGACCCTTAATTGACCTTGTGGGGGCCCACATTGATTTTCTCCACGTGCATCTTCATTTCTGATAAATTATAAAGCCATTAATTTGCGGAGGAAATGGCAGGGCCAGGCTGCGGCACAGATGTGACCAGAGCTATCCCAGCCCTGAGTCGGCAGAGAAGTGCCAAGAATCCAGGCGAGAATCAGGAAGCCTGGATTGTTATGGTTCGCCTCGCTTTCTCTTGGGAATTGTTTTCGTTACTGCTGTTTACAGATCTAAAAGGTAATGATGTTTCCAGATAAATAGGCCTTCTTATTTGGGGTAAGTGGCCATTTATTGATCTGCTAACCCACATGTATTGATTTGTTAGCCCCAACTACTGTGTCACTCTCAGAGGACTTAACTATAAACCCGAGACAGGCAAATTGTGTTTGGTTTTGGATGGTTGCTTTCACAAAAGCGACGCCCCTACCCCGTTCTGTGTGCCAAAACCACCCCCTCCCCAGTCTTAGCTGTTACTTTAAAGGAAACTGTTGAAAGGAGGCGATGATGAGATATCGAGCAGTGGAGTCCAGGCGCCCATTGGACTAGAAATGCAGGAAAAAGTAAAATGTAAAGTTTGTGCAGCGGTGTTCAAAATAACACATTTTAGATGCTCACGTGTGTCCATGGGATCATTTTATGGGAACTGCAGAATGCGAAGAGAAGAAAATCAGAACTACAATTGCAGAGAAGGAAGAAGAGTCTTGGGATGAGGGTGAGGTGGCCCATATTGGGTGCGTGTGTCTCCTTAGCAACACGTGAGCATATGGAGAACACACGGGCCTAGCACCAGGGGAAGGCCGTCCTCCCCACCACGTAGCTGAGACTCTGTGACTATGTTTTGCATCCTGGCAGGCAACAGAGCAGGGCCGTGGAGTTCCCTGTATGCCAGGGCTGCTTGAGGGGGCTCCATATATTCTGGGGGTGAGCTGCTATGGGGTCCGCTGGGACAGGTCCTTGTTGTTTATGGATTTTTTTTTTTTTTTGCCTTAACCAATTGCATCCTACATGCAGGAAGGATTGTCACCCAATCACTTGAAAAAAGCAAAGCTTATGTTCTTTTATACCCGTTACCCCAGCTCCAATATGCTGAAGACTTACTTCTCCGATGTAAAGGTAGGGACTTTTACTGTTATCGGATTTGTTTTGTTTTGTTTCATCTTCTGTACATGTGGAAATGATTGGAACTCCGGGAAGTTAATGGAGAGGAATGTGGAATACACCTGTGTGGTAATGGGGTGAATGTGCTTGTTCTTTGTCTAAATGTGTGGGAGCAGAGGTGCCCCCCCCGTACATGAAGATGGAAGGACCAGTGTCCCTGAGGCTCTCACAGGTCTCCAGCCTAGTCCGGCTTCTGTCTTTATAGCTTTCCATAGCTTCCTGGGAGAAAGTTCTGGTGGTACTGGATGGATACGCGTTAGAGAATTCTCTCCCTCACCGCTGCAGCAGTAAACAGTCTCTGTTTTTGTTTCTGTTGGTTTCCCCATATTTGTGCCTATGAAAGCAGACTCTAGCACCTCTTTTTCCCCCTGTCGGAAAGGAGCGTACATTGAAATTCTCTATGCAGTAGCTGCTTAAAAACAAAAGTGATGATTGTCTCTTATTTACAACTTAATTTGTTGTTGATGTAGAGTACACTGAGCATAAGGAGAATGAATAAAGTGACAGATTCAGGACACATTATTCAAATGAGGATATGAAAGCTGTCGGCTTACAGCTGCAGCCTCCCCCATCCACAGAATACTGGGACCTCCTGGTCCTGTGTGTGTGCATATGCATGTGTGTGTGTGTGCGCGCGCGTGTGTGTGCATGTCTGTGTGTGAGTTTTAAGTAATTGTTTGCATCAACTTGATGTTGCGTTAATCATCTGTAACTTTTTAAAACGTAGATTGGGTTTTGATGATAATGACACGCATGGCATCATTATCCGAGGAACTTGATAAACATTACATTAGCTGAGATTAGTTTATTAGGGTTGGGTGGTTCCCCCACCCCTCTCTGCCCACCCCCATATGTACAAGTTCTTTCTGCCACTGAGAACTCAGAAGCTGCCAGCGCGGGCCGGCTCTTTCCCACTCCCCTACATGCAGTGTATTCTGTGCCCCAGGACCATGTTGCTTCCTGGGCCCCATTTTGCAGGCCAGCTCACTTGGGTTTCCTCTGCTGATGTTTTATTTGGCCTTGTCGGGAAAGTTCTGTTTCCCCTCCTGCTTGCCTTTGAATTGTATATCAACGCCAGCCTTTTATCGTGCTCTTCCCTGGCTGTGTTCCTTAAGTGGAAGGCATGTTTTCTCCTCATTTAGCACCAACAGACTGGGGGGAGGGGGCAGGATGGGGGAGGCAGAGAAAGTTCATGATCTAAAAGGCTGACTGAGATCACTTCCATGCACACAGGAGGCCAGAAAGAGTCTGAGCTTTCTAGTGGGGACATCTAGACTAGACCTATGGAAGGACTTGGCCAGCTCCTTAAGGACTGAGCAGCTTCTAGAACCTGGCAAAAACTGGCAAAGCCTGTCTTCAGGGCCTCCTCCTAGCACACTTTGTTTCTAAGAGAAGGATGCCGAGGGGAGGGGGCAGAGTTATTGTGTCCACGCAGTCACACTCACACTCACATGAGTGACCCTGTTACCTCTTTTATTGCTCTTAATGCAGTCATTGCCAGTGTTGTGATAATTAGCACAGTTGCTGGTACTATTTACACAGCATCTTTCATTCAGAAGGAGGCCAAAGAGCTTTACAGACCACGCACCCAGGGCTCACTCACCCACCCTGAAACGCAGCCACCTGGGAGAGGGGGACAGCAGCACTCTGAGCCAGCACCCAGTAGATGCCAACACCAGAATCCAGGCTGTGTGTGCCTGTGTGCTGGGGAGGGGACCCAGCGGGGAAACGTATTGATCTGCAGCTTCACAAGTTCTGTGCAATGGAAACCAGTGAGAAAGCATCCACATTCCTTCAAAACCTATCTAGGAATTCAGCTTTACAAGGAACTACAAATAACAGTTAAATATCTGGTGGAAGATTTTATTTTTAAAAAACCGTTAGTGTCTGGGTTTCCAGTTCCACCCATACCTTCAGAGGGGAAGAGAAGGCTGTTAAAGTATGAGTGGGTTTGGTTAAATTATAATTATCCACCCTAATGGAAGGGAACCCACCGAAGGCCATTTCTACGAATTTTCAAATGAATTATACATTTTAAGTTTCTTAATTATGTTTTTTTATTTGGCCAATAATAAATGAATTTGTATTTCCTGGGCTTCCATTGATGATGAGAGGAACTCAAGCATGGTAGAGTGGTGCAGGAATGGTGGTCTAGAGACTTCCACAAAGCAGAAACAGAATATTCTGAGATTTTGTCAGTATTAAGCATAGTTCTGAATCTGAATGTTGACAGTGTACGACACATACACACATAGCATACATATATAATGCTGTATCTACGCACACCGTGCTAGATAAGCACATGTATATCTTTATCTAGCTGGTAAATAGACACAGGTGAGTACTTCTTTGCAGGCCTGAAAGATCTGGATGATTATCAGTATATGCTTCAAAGCTTTAGTCTGGTTGGGATTTAAGGAAACTCTGCAGGACTGAATGGTCCCTAGACATGATAAAAGGGACCTTAAGATTTTGTTAACCATGAAACTCATATCAGGAATCTTGAAAAAGACATATTCATGTGTCTATGGACCAAGTAATGCTGGTCATGATGATATGAGCTTTGGCTTGTAACCACATCCACGGAAGACAATTCGTAATTCTAGTAAGATGCACTTTTCCAACTTGGAAAGTCATTTCACTTCAAGTAGTGGTGAGAAGTTAGTTTTGCATGTAAATAAACCCAGGAAAATGGCATGGGTGGAAAGGATTTTTCAAAGTCACAGTGGACGGTGGTGCAGGATGAGGCTGATGTCAGGCCAGCCCAGAAAGTAAATGAGGAGGGGAGCTGCGTCCTCTTAGCGTAGTTTTCTAAACGTAGACCCAGTGTCCAACTCTCCCCAAGAGCAGCCACTGGGGCAGGAGTAGATGCCTTTCAGTTCCTGTGCAGCAAGGAGTCTGGTGGGACACCATGCCCAGTCTAGAGATGTGAGTGCCCTGCGTTCTGTAGTGACCCTGGATGTGAAGCTGAGTCTCAGCTCAACTAACTTTACCTCCTAGAGTCAGGATCCCCATGAAGTTCTATGTTCTCACGGCGAGAGTCCAACTTAATTCCCTCACGGTGACATTTCACCAGACACAAAGCTCAGCTCGTCAGGGCTTCAGATCCTTTGAGAAGGGCAAGTGGGCCAAAAGGGAGAGAGATGCCAGGGGTGGGTGGACCACACTGCTTCTCTTGTTCACCACTGGGTGCTGATTTTAATGTGCAAACTAATAACTCCTGGAGCACTAAGTACAACAGATTCAGTGTCATTTCAGCTTTGAAGAACAGACGCTCACAGCCTTTCAAGCCAGCAGTGTTAGATGATGTATCTCCTCCCTCCACCCCTCGAGTCAACCGCTGCCTAGCCAGATTAAGGTGTCAGGTTGATTTGTTTTATACATCTTTTGACCATGCTCATTGAATATTTAGGAAGTTTCTTCAGCCCATATTGAGGCTGAGATGTCCCGTGGGAAGCATTAATCAAAGTCACAGAGACTCGTACACTGTGGAAACACAGGCTCTTTATTGTAGCGATTAGTTTTTGCAGTAACACATTAACACACTACAGAGCTTGCCTTTACAGAACAATTGATCCTTTTCTTGTGAGCCACTATGCAAGGAGGGAAATTAACTCTTTCAAGTTTAACACTTTCCCTCCCCCCCGCACAAATATCTAGAGAAGAGACAGCTTGGTTTGCTTTTTTTTTTTTTTTTTGCCAGGAGCAAACGCTGGGCGGATTTCAGTCCCCTTCTGGTGGAGGGGAGCCCTGTCCCTCAAGCTGTGGTGCTGGTCATTTTGCTTGCCTCGTGTTTGGGGCCTCTTGTTCCTGTCCATTCTTTCTCTCTGGTATTTCCATTCTTCAACAATAAGCTTTAAATCTCCCTTTATGTCCCATTCGTAAATAATGGCAAGGGCACTTACTTTTTTGTCCTGCCCCATTAGGTCATTCATGACCATTCTAGAAAAAAAAAATACCCTTCTATTTTTTCCTCTACAGTACTCTTGTCCATATGAGACAATGTCTTGTAACAATACAGAAGCCTAATCTCCATGTCAAAGCAATTTTCATTCCCCAGTGCACAGCCTGCTATCATTTTGTAATGTTTTGTTTCTTATTCTAAAAGAATTAAAAAGGAACAGTAAGCCGTCACGGGGGCCTGTGGTCCTTATCTCAGTGTCTGGAAATTTGGACAGTGTATTTTACTGCTGAGATAAAATGGAAAGAACTCCAAGTTCAGCAAATCGTAATGGGTTTAAGTTCTATTGAAATCGGCAACCAGAAGATCAGATAACGGGGGTCCTTCAGTTGTCTTTTTAATCGGGTTCCCCGCGAGGCTGAATAGAGACAGAGCAGGCATACAGAGTGAAAATATAATTCTTGGATAGGTTAAGTACATGTTTGAACTCTTGCAAGCAGAAGCGATTTGCTGATGACTTAATCATTTTCTGGTCAATTATCTGTAAGGGCCCTTGCAACTCCATGGCAATTATGATGCAAGTTGGCCTTTTGGGAGAAACACCAGTCTCCCTGCTTCTGTTTCCTTGTTACTTCCATTCTCTGCCATAAATTTTCATTCAGTTATTATCTTTGCTAGTATGGAAACAACTTTCTGTGTAGTAATTACAGCCCCAATACACACTTTAGCTGTCATCTTGTTAGGGTCTGGATATTCTCATGGCCAGTGTTGGATAAGTGCTCTTTGTTGATTTTTGATGAATGTACATCTTTTTCTGGGGGCCCAGAGAAGAGATGACAAAAGGCAGGGGTATCTGTCAGCCTGCCTAATATAAAGCTTTGGATTTATTGGTTTTGACTTGGCAAGTTGAGACACATCTGTCCTTTACTCAAACAGAGGGCTGTCAATAAGGAGGGTACCATTTGCAGTGCACCCAGGAAGCCACCGTCACTGCAAAGGTCATTGGGAAACCTTGGTAAACACAGTTTTAAAGCTTAACTGTGTAACAGTAACTTGGCATTTTAAAAAATGCAATAAAGGCAGTGTCTCGGTGATCCAGGGACTCTGCACCGTCCTCCCAAGAGGCATAGGCACCAAGGGCAATGGGGCATGGATCTTCTCTGAAGTTGACCACTGGGGGCAGAGGAATAGGTACCAAGGTTGGAGCAGACCACCCCAGAAGCTCTTCAGTGGGCAGACAGTCAGTGGAGTTGGAGCTAGATGGGCATGAGTGGAGACCTTCTGGGGCCAAAAAATAAGCAGACACCAGATTCCTCTCTTGTGTCAGAGAGCCATTCTCTTGTGTCAAAGCGGTGCTTCTGTGACAGAGCAAACTATCTTTTCTAAACATGTAGAGCACAGAAAAAAAATGTAGATGCCACTAGTGTTACATGATGTGGCTCACTGTCTTTCATACTTGAGAGTAACAATTCTTCCAAGGAATCGAGGACTTGAGTGATTTTCCATAAGAAGTGTGTGGATATGTTTTGTGTGCAGATGCGTTTTGTGCTACTGAAGCATGAAAAGTAATGTTATCTTTTTAAAGCTATCTGGCTCAAGGAACATCTGACTCAGTATGTGAGCTTTGCACTGGAAGTGTGGAGGACTACAGTGTGTTTTACATTATTGATCCATTTTTGAGAAATTCTCTATGTATATCATTGCTCCTGCCTCTCCTGCCACCCTTTTGGTGCAAATGCTTATATTTCCAAGTAAAGAAGGGGAGGGAAATTTTAAAAAGTGTCAAATGTTTTTAAAAAATGAATGACCAAAATGGTGATATTCTTATTTTTATAAACATTTGAATTTAACAGTTCAACAGATGCATTACCTCTCAGCTGATCAAGTGGTTTAGCAATTTCCGTGAGTTTTACTACATTCAAATGGAGAAGTACGCCCGCCAAGCCATCAACGACGGGGTCACCAGCACAGAAGAGCTGTCCATAACCAGAGACTGTGAGCTGTACAGGGCCCTGAACATGCACTACAATAAAGCAAATGACTTTGAGGTAGGAACTAATCTTCATTTTTGGGTCCTCTCATTTTTATCTTGTTGGTTTGACTTTCTTTAAAAATGTTTCTCCATGAGTTTTTGCAATGGTTCCTTACTTAACCACACCAGCAGCATCAGAATCAGAGAGTGGGAACTCACTGCCATGTCCAGTCCCATTCCCTAACTTCTTTGCCCCACTGGGCACAGGAAAGAGAACCGAAGAACCATCAGGAATGGCCTAAAGGAGCAGATGGAGTGACTTCTCTTCCAGGAAAGTGGTCCGTGCTCCACTGTACTTTTTCATACTTAGATTCCATACTTAGATTCTTGGGTATCAGTAGTGTTGATATACGTTCTATGCAAAAGTAGCTAAAAAAAAAATAGTTCTCTGAAAAAGTCTAGAGCTGTCGGTGGGGGAGTGATCCCATGGTTTCTAATCTGAATTGACCTTCCTTTCCTGGGAAGCAAAAATGGTATGAGAATTTGCTGAATATATATTCATCCGTACTTTTGTGAGGGTGGTTTTATTTCTGTGTCTGTGGTTCGGGGAGGAGAGACCTGTGTGTTGATGGTGTGTGCGCACCTTCCCAAGCGAGGTGCCCCGTGTTCCTGTGCTCATAGACAGCCTCGTGTATGTCTACAGCATGCACATTCTAGATACTCACAAAGCGGCATGGACAATTCCCGGTAAGCTGTGCCTCTACCCAAGGGACAATAAGGATCGGAGCTATGAGTAAGGCATTTCTTTATTGGCTAATGCTGTGCCTCAGCAAACGGTTCTCATCACCATGTGATGGGCCTCGATGGGACAGCACTAGAAAATCTCCCAGGACTCACAAAGGCATTTTGCTGAGCCCTGCGGGCTAAGACAACAATAGCTGGAGGTGGGAATGTGGCGAGAGCTCTACAGACCAAACCCCCAGTGAGGAAGAGAGACAGATGCTGGGTTAACAAAGTGGGTCCACATACTGTGTCATCTCAGCTAGATACTGCGCCACCCTGAGTGTGGGACCTACACCTGCTTTTAACCGCATCTTATGTTAATATCCTTGCTGGGGTCCTGCAGATAGGTACCTAGGAATGCCCAGAAAGCTCAGGGCAGTGTTCAGGGCAATGAAGATCAGTGATGGGGATTTATAAAGAACAAAGTATGTGAGCTTAGCAGCTGGGAAGCCATTGTTTTTCCTTGGAAATTTGAATGGTCGTACTGTAGGCTACCAACGTGCCTTTGCAATTTAAGACTGCTGTATTTCTTGCCAAACATGTTGTAGATGAACTTTTTCCATTGCTGAGCATATTAAAAACAGATATTCTTAGAGTCCTGGTCCACTATTCTGAAATCAGTATCATTTTTAAGTCTCTGTTGCAACAGAGCCCTGGTTTATTATGTTGACAGGATAGAAGCAAATTTCTTCTAAAGCAACAGAACGCAGCCAAACATTTTAAAGCCATTTCACGGAGAGCTTCATTTCTTCCCTCCCTTTCTGATAAGTCTGTCACCCTAAACCTTAAGCTAAGAGACTTCTGCTGTGTGCTAGTAAATTATTTACATGATATTATGACACAAATATTCACCGGCAGCACACACCAGGCTTCATAAAAGAATCACCTGAGATTCATCAGAGGATTTCTGCGTTTTTGCTGTATAATGTACTCAAGGCAACAAATCCTTAAAGTGCACATTAGGCTTGCAGGGCTGTTTAAACCTTACCTGGTTGGAATTTAATCCCCCACTCTCTGCACAAGGACCAAAATGACATAAACAGGACTCTGGCATCAAGAGGTCCCCAACAAGCTGCTCCATTTAGCTTCGTCTAAATCCTGCTCTAATATGATTAACATCTGATAGTTCTGTCTTTGTGAATCATACCCACTTCCAGCCAGGCCACCTCTCCTTTATCTACAATGTCTATTTTAAGACTGCCTTGCAAGGAGCCTGGGACCTGGGCTGGAATTTTGTCACTTCCCATGTGACTTTGGACAAGTTATTGGACTATGCTGTTCTCTCTTCCCTGAAAAGCAGACCCTTTGCAGAAATGTGGGAAATATCATTTTTAATTGAGCCTTGCGGCCTGCCACTTTCATTATTACTCTTCTATTAGTAATAACAAAAGTCTCAGATAAAGGGGCCCCTCGTTTTCCGTCCTGTGGAGCACGGAGATCGCTGCTTAAGTGCAGTGCTTAAAAAGCCACTGTCCCTATCACTACAGCTTTCCCAGCATGGACAGTGGCTGCAAGCCAAAAGTGGACCGGGCACCTCGAGCTGAATACCTCAGCTGATAGTGTGTGCTGTGCTTTTCTTTCACATCAAAGTTTCTTAAGATTGCATGGAGCAGGGCTGTGGGTTAGGTATGAGCAAGTAGAAGGAGACAGCAAAGTAGAAACCCTTTTGTGTGTTTCGTTTTTCCAAAAGACCTGCACTGTGGTAGCAAGAGTGAAGTTGCATCTACCTGCTGCCCAGGAGCCAGTCGATGCGAAGGAATGCTTTAGCCCACCTGAGTACGAGTGGCCTGAAGAACAAAATGTCTTATTGATTGCGTGTTTGCATTTCTCCATCGGTTGTTTATAGCAACAATAAACAGCTAACATTTATTGACTGCTGGCTAATGTTCCAGCCGTTTTCTGAAGTGTTTCACCAATAGTAACTTACTTACGGAGGCAGTAGTAATGACATCTACATTAACAGAGTGAGAAACAGTCCAGTTTGATTAAAACTTTATTGTTTTGAAATTTATGCTAAATGGACGGGGGTGGGGGAGTTACTGAAGAGCTTCTCCTCTGCTGGGAGTTCTTCCTGCCTTTCTTTCTCTTCTCTATCCCTGGGCTTTTTTCAGCCCTCTGGTCTGTCTCTGCCTCTGTCACAGCTTGCTGAGGCTCTTCTGTCCCTGCTTGGCACCCACCTCCTGCCGTCCCCACTGCTGCTGGGCTCTCCAGGCTGGAGAGGTGACTGACCCCTGGCCTATGGGAAAATAAAGCAGATGGGGAAGGTTTATCACTGGCAAGGAGGGAGTGGCTTGCGTCTCTCTTCTGGACCCTGCATTTCCTGGCTTTTATGAGTCAGAACCTTCTAAGTGACAGGAGAGCTTGTTCTGCCTTTTGTATCAGTTTACACAATTGCCAAGATTCTTGGCACGGTGTCCAGGCTTAGGGTGGTGAGAGTTTGAGATGTCCCAGGGGATGTGGAAGAAGAGACAGTGAAGGGGAGAGAGAAAATCAGCAGCAACAGCAGCAGCAGCAGCAGCAGCACACTTCTGGTTGTGCTGGACAGAGGGACACTGTCTGCCCAGGGTGGGGCTGGGCACAGCGCCTGGCCTCGGAGCGGGCGGTGGCAGAGGTGTACCCAGGAGGGGTTCCCTGACTGGCCGTGTCTCTCACTCCTGCCTCTCACGTTTGGTGAGGTTGGCAACAATGAATTTATCTTTCCAGGTGTGACGGTATATATTGCCATGATTTGAAGAGCTTCCAAAATATTTCTTTTTTTTTTTTTTTCCTTTTGTTTTGTATGGAGAGGGAGAGAGCTTTGGCAATCCTTCCCCATTTTTAAGTCACTTGGATACTTCTGACTTTAAGGGCGGATGAGTTGTTTTCCATTGCCTTTGTTTTTTTTCTAACTTGTCTCCCTCACAACTGTAGCAGGGAAGAGAGGTCATGAGTGCTGTCAAATTTCTGATGCTGGTTTACCCGTTGTGCAAATAGCCCAACTGATACAATTCACCATAAAAGGAGCAAAAGCCCAGAGGTCTGATCTTATTTCCTGGGGTGCAGCTAAGAAAGGAAAATGGGGAGGAGGGGTGGACATAGGTGGAGGAGAGACTGTGGGGCACCTTCACTGGGCACTTGGAGCTCTGTCTCAGTCTGGGGTACCATGATACAGCCGCCCCCTCACCTGCCCTGGAAACCCAACAATCCCAAGCGGTTACAGTCATGTCCCTGTGGGCGGAGTCCGGGTTGTAAGAATGAGTAATCTCCCCCGCCCTCGGGAAACACCGGGGTTTGGGTGTGAAAGGTTTGGAAATACACTGAACAGAGAAACTTGATTCACTCATCAGGGGCCTTGGAAATGTCACTCCATAAGATGTAGGTGGGAATAACTCATCACTGGGACACGGTCCACCTCAGAATCCAGGTGACCCGTGGCCGTCAAGAGGGGTCCTCCCACTGACCCCTTCGTGTAGTCTCTCACTTTCTTCTTGAAAACAGAAAAATAAAAAGCAGCGGCCCCCCTCCCGCAGACACCCTGCCTCAACCGTGCCCTCACCCACCCACCGAACAGCTACCCTCTCCATCTGCCCCGCCCCCTTCTGCGTTTAAGAAGATTTAGTGTATCTGTGGTCTCTTTAAAGCAGAATGAGGACAGGTGGATTTAGGAAGCGCTTTCCTGTCCTCCAAACAGATACTTAAATATGAGCGATAGCTCGGCAAACTGGCACGCGCGTGCGGACCTCTCGCTGCGCACTGTCTCTTGGCTGAGCGGTGGAAGCGCTCGCACCGCGCGCTCCTGGTGGGTGGCAGAGGGGAAGAGAAACACTTACCATTTCTTCTCGTGCCAGTCTCACTATTGACAAGCCAAATTGATCTTTGAAGCGACTAAATGAATGTTCCCTAAATATATGTACACACATGGCTGCCTGGGAACGTATTCCTTTTGCAGTGATAGCTTGAAATGGAAGGAGAGAGCGCGCGCAGGACCCCCCAGCAGGCTGGAAGAGGGGCTGAGGGGCTGGGGGGCTGGAGGTGGCACCCCGAGGGACGTGAGGCTCCGTTTCGGTGCCACCCGTCCTTTGAGAGTGAAGGTGTTCATCAGTATAATGAAGCAGACCCATTGATTTATCATCTATTTGGTAATGTCATTGCATTTTTAGCTGTCTGGGTCTTTTTTTGTCATCGGGTTATATTCAAGCACAGTAAGAGCAACTTTAAAACCTTCTTACTCGACAGCTTTATTAGTTATAGCCTTCCATGACCTTTCTTAACATTCTTAAAGAAAAAGATACAGCGTAACGTCGCTTTACTTCG